TCCTCCAAGCAGAAGTTGAGATTGTCGCAAGCACAAACATGGATGAGTATCCGATCGTAAATCCATTACCGTCTTATGGAAGAGGAAGGGATACTACTGGTGGAAGATACAACAACTTCATTTGGGATACCAACCTCACCGATGTCATCATTACAGGTGAAAATAGGATGATAGATGGCAAGGCTAGTTCTGGTGAGAAAAATTTCACAAAAAGCAACTGGACTCTACTCGCGGATATCTCCTTGAGCACATGCATTCAAAGAACATCCTTATCTCCAACCTCACTTTCGTTAACTCTCCGGCATGGAATCTGCATCTGGTTTACTGCAACAATGTCATCATTTCTAATGTCATCGTTTTGGCTCCTGTGGACTCCCTTAACACTGATGGCATAGATCAAGACTCATGCTGTAATGTCTTGATCGAGGACAACTTCATTGTCTCCGGTGACGATTGCATCGTCGTCAAAGGCGGATGAGATGAATACAAAATACGCTACGGGTGGCCAAGTGAAAAAATCCTCATCCGTCGTTCCACCTGCATCTCCCCCTACAACACCGTCATAGCCCTCGGAAGCAAGATGTACGACGACATTGAAAACCTATGCAACCCAAGTTATCGATTTCACCCATTAATCGCGTTTCACGAAGAGATTTCAATGGATACATATCTGGTCATAGGAAGGGTAGCTTTAGTTTTGAGGAGTATCGATTCTCGCCTCCGTTCTCAGCGTCTCCTACTCCATCTCCACTTACCAATGCGACTAGATTGCAATCAAAGACTCCTCCAGTCAGCATACCACAATCGATGATGGGGAGGAACCATTTGCATCGCACTCCTAACTTTTCAAATCCGACTAGAAGCTTGTTGCCACCAGCTTGTTGCCACCGCCATCGCCTAGAAATGCACGGGCTGATGTTTTGGAGGATTCTCCTTCTCCGAGGTCTTTCAGAAAGTCGGGGGATCTTACTTTACTTCTGTACACGACTCCTAAGAAACCATGATAACAAATATGCTTTGCAGTTTGACCAAACATCATCACAAACCATAAAAAAAAACTTTCTGTGTAGTATCCTCCTATGACGACACCAGCGATGCCGCCACCCGCCTCATTATCCTCTCGCCGGAGATATCGCTATCGTGGGTCGAACGATGCCGGCAAAATCCATCGCCGACTCTTCCTTCTGCAGTATTTTTTTCCTTTCCTGACAAAATGTCAGGGCCCTTGCATTATTATTCTTCCCTGTCAAAGCGTCAAGGGGAGCTACGTTTCCAGCCGACTATTTCTCCTGCAATATTTAGGGGGAGCTGCGTTTCCAGCCGACCATTTCTCCTGCAGTATTTTTTTTCTTCCCTGACCCATGCGTCATGGGGAGCTCTGTTTTCAACCGCCATTTCTTGTGCTGCTTTCTTTTTCAACAGAATTTACCGAGTGTGATTAACATGTTTTTTTTCTGCATCCCACGACAATTGCGATCAACTAAAAGTTAGTTTCCCTGTAGGTTGTCTTTTTTCTGCAAAACTCAAAATTCAAGCAAGTCTGAATCCAACAAATTCAGTCAAGCCTGAATCTCTTTTCTGCGCCAAAACATATGACAGACAAAACTCAAAATTTAGCCAAGCCTAAATTTCTCTTATATGTCAAAACATATGCAAACTAAACTCAAAACCCTACCAAGTCTGAATCTTGCAAATTTGATAATCCAAATGACCAATTTTTCTTCACTACCCAACAAGTTATGAATTATTAACATACATTCTAAACTTGAGTGAATAGGAAATAATTTATTCCTATAATAGGTTATGAGGAATAAATAATTTCCTTAATGTAAGGAGATATTTTATTTCTTATTTTATATTTATTTCCTTGGATTAAAAATTAATTGTTTTCCGATTTTATGTTATTTCCTATATCTCCTAATAATTAATTTGAATTAATTATTGGATATATCAGAGGATGTATCTATCCTTTCATATCATTTTATTTTTATTTTTATTTCTTATTATAGGATTCATGTAAGAGTTGTTTATACCCCTGCTTATATCAATGAAAAATAAAGTATTCCAAATTATTCTAAAATTCAACATGGTATCAGAGCAATCTTTCATACCCGAGCCACCGGTCCTCATTTGAAAATTGTTGGATTCCCTTCCTGCCATCCTCTATATAGGAAGGAATGGACACTCATCTTGATATTTGAAACGAAAATTTTCTCTACTTTCTCCAATCCTTCACTCTTCTTCTCCGCCGTTCTAATGAAATCCTTCAAAATCCAAAGCAGAACAATTTGACTGACGATCATCGCCATTATCACTTTCGTGTGGAAGGCGGAGTACTGGCAAGCGAAGGACTTCGACCGCTTGCTGTGGTCTGTAGGCAATGGATCGCCGGGTGGGTGTCGATCCCACGCTGCCGATCTGATACAATTTGGCGGAGTGAGTGAAGCACCCATATCTGCAAATAACTAACTAGAAAGCATCATACTTAAAGATAACTGCTTCACAATTTAATCTAATCTAAAATTTTAAAATAAAAAAAGAAAAAAAAATTATAACACTTTCTATATATTACAATCTAAAATTTAATATCAATTATTTAGCTTTTGAGAATCTTTTTATCATCAACAATCTAATACTTATACATCGACTTGTTCAACTTTCCTCGCTCTTCAAAATCTTCATATGATCTGCTTGCGCCCGAGCGGATTAGGGGGCATCGCAATACAGTTCCCCCGCTAATCCACTTGACGGAAATAAGAAATTCTGAGTGTGGAATATGTAATTAATGGAGTTTTTGAGTGCTATATACGTAAAAATCTCTTTTTTTATCTGTAAGATTTGAATCAGCCTGAATTATTAGACTGAATTAAGGAAAATGATGAGCAAGTAAATAGTTAAACAAATTATGGACAGATCTTTGCATTCAAAAGCATTTACGTATACATTTAATGTAAATCCTGATTTATTTTTTTGGTGTATTTACAATGTAAATCCAAATTTATTAAAAAATATTTGACGGGCTCGACGGATTTAACTTAAGAAGAAATACTTCAAAAAAGCTAATGAGTTTATGTAAATTTACGAGATTTACCAACATTCTGATTAACTTAAAAACCTCAGATCTTCGAAATCTTCACGCACCTGCGGAAGAATTCTTCTTTTTTATGTCAAAGTAGGTGAACTACTATGGATTTCAAGCCCCCGAACCCTACGCTGCGGAACTTCTCCTTGCTCCTTGCTCCAAACTTACATCAACAATCCATCAATCCACAGGCGGAATATCGATAGCTTGCTCCTTGCTCCAAGGTAATCCCCAGTAACAATTATAAGACTTTGAAGCTAATTATTGAATTCGTTGCTCATTCTTGTTATCTAGATGCGATCTTGTTAGGAGCGATTAATTGAAGTAGAATAATAAATTTATTCGAGATGATAATTGCATCTTCTTCTTGCTTCGTTTGTGTTTTTCTTAGCTTGATCGGGTTCCCTTATTTTCTCAGCTATTGGGTAGATCTGTTGAGTGTGAGCACTGAAAATGCAACGGCGCTGTTTGTTAGCTTTCTTATTTACATTCTAACCCTACGTATGGTCTGTTTGCTATGGAATCCTCATCGCATCTCAGTGATAATTTTCTAGACAACTGTAGTCCACCATTGCCTGTAAAAGAAAACCAGCACGGTGCCGTGTCCATAACCAGCCAATGAATCAATTTCCCCTCATTTGATTTTATATGATTCATTGCTAATATCCTTCGATTTCTATTAATATCTCATTCCAAAATTGGTTAATGCTATTTTCGAAACTTTTTGTTGTCTTTGTTAAGTTGTGCGCTTATGTTTTAAAATGGAAGTTTGTTTGTTGTTGTAGGAAATAAAAATTGAGTTGCAAAAAGTCCAAGTTTTGGTGAAAAGTTACTGGTACTGCTTATAACAGGATATTTGAGATGAGTCATATTTCCTCAAAGTTAATGACCGGGGCAGAGATTTGCAGTTTTGTTTCTGGTTCACATATTCAGGTCAGAAGGGATGTTTTTGGTGCTGAGCTCCATAATAATTCATCGAATAGAATTAATATAGCTTGGCTGAGACATGCCCGCCAATCCAGCTACACAAGTGGGTGCAAATTTAGTGTCTCAGCAAGAATAAAAAAGGGGCAGAAGCATGACTATCCATGGCCAGATGATGTTGATCCAAATCTGAAAAGTGGACACCTGAGCTATTTGTCTCACTTCAAACCTCTTAGTGAAAAGCCCAAGTTGGTTGCACTCGATTTTGAGAAGCCATTGCTTGAGCTCGAAAAGAAAATATCTGATGTGAGTTATTTATGGCACAATCTGCTTTTTAAGTACTTCATCCTAGGAAACCTCATTGCTTCCAAACATTTCAATTGAAAAGAAAAAACTCTGCAATTCCAATTTATCTAATATTCTGAAGTATCCACCTGTCTAAAAAGATGATTTGGGCATCATTAAGGAAATGTTTTTTTCCTGCTTTGCATTTTGAAAACCAAGCTTAACATATTTTGAAAACCTATCAATCATGCTAAGTTCACCTATGTTGCATGTACGCCTCTTCCTTGATTTTAAGATGTCTGGTAACACAATTGTTGCTCACCCCAAAAATGGGAAAATTTGAACTTTGCATAATTAATAGGTTTGAATTAGCCTGCTCAAGATTTAAGCCTTAAAATTAAGTTCAATTCTCATTGAAGGGCTGTTGATATTTACTTGGTTTGTGTGAAAACATGAGATTGATGATATTTGATATGACTAGGTCACCCTTACCGAACTTTAGTTTTTGATTTGGTTTGAGTTTTGCCTGCCTCCTTTAATCTTTGTTAAGTGCTCAAGGATGGATGCTTTCTCGATCATAACTATGCATGATAAAAATTTAGGAGTGTTGAGAAAGAAGGGCAAAGAAAACGCAATAATCAAGGATTGAACAATCAAGAAAGAACACAAGGATTTAAGGAGGTTCGGCAATGCGCCTACGTCCTCAGGAGTGAATAGCGGCGGGTTTTTATTTCTTGAAGCAAAGTTCTCCCTATTAGTGATATATATATATATATATATATATATATATATACTTTTTTATTTATTTTTTATTTTTATTATTATTATTTTTATTATTATTATTATTTTTTGGGAAAGAGCATCGGTGGCTCCCTAAGCGTTAATAATTAAAATAAGATACAAGGTTTGGGGGGAGGGTCCCCATCTAGAAAACACAAAAAGAAATACATTAGACTCACCCCTAGGGGTCCCTCTTCCCCAAGTACAACTCACACAAAAATAGCTTTCAAAATACAAGTATACCCAAAAAACCCGAAAAAGAGCCAAAATAAAAAGGTAGTCCTCTGTGCTTTTATATCATGGAAATATTTGAAGGAAGACAAAAAAAAAAGGTCACGCATCCAAGAGCAAGGACTCCATCCCAACCTGTGTCTTCAAAAATGAGATCCTCTTGTAATACATGACAAAACCAGCCAAGCCAAACAAAAAGAGGGAAACCAAAAGAGAAAATTCAGCATAGTCCAGCCTAACCGAACAGTTGATGACTAAAACATATAAAAACTTAGAATCGAATGTAGGGGAGATTTAAGGTATCTCCAATGATAACTCTCTGAAGAGGGGCAGTGGGATGTGTGCCAACGTGACAAGTCTCCCCTACATTTTTGGCAAGCCAGTCCGCAAGGGAGTTGCCCTCTCTATGAATAAACTTTCATTTAACCTCAAGATGTTTTCCAGCTATAAGGTCCATTATTCTTTTAAAAATACCAATTAAATCCCAAAGAGGAGAAGTAGTACCAACCAAAATATCATAAAGCATTTTTGACGCCATCTCCACCTCCAGCTTACGAAAATTAAAAATGTTGGCCACCACTAGAGCCAAAAAGACTCCCCAACTTTCAACAGCCAAAGAAGTTTCGACAATAACAGGGGAAGCGAAAAAGAGAAGGCATTTCTCCTCAAAATTTCTAAAAAGACCCCCAACCGCAGCATAATTAGCACGCCAACAGCCATCAACATTTAATTTCACATAATTAGCATGCGGAGGAGCCCACAAAATAAGCCGAGGGACCTTAGTGGTTTTAACCACGGAAGAGCTAGCTCTTAAAGTTTTATCATAATAGGCAATCACATATGCAGCAACCATAGTAATAGAGGGGAGAGAGGTGTGATACTTAAAACTATTTCTGGAGTTCCAAAGGAATCACAAAACCAACAAAAGGGAGGGGAAACCTCCCCTTACAGGCATCAAAATCCTTCCATTGTCATAAATAACTAGTTAAAGATCCTCTATGTGTCCAAGAGAAATCAAAGTGAGCGCCAACCATATCCCAGACCTCCAAAGAGAAAGCACACTCAAAGAAAATGTGTGTTATATCCTCCTCCATCATCACATAGGGCAAAGATCCTCTATGGGTCCAAGAGAAACCAAAATGAACGCCTATTTTATCCCAGAGCTCCAACGAGAAAACACACTCAAAGAAAGTGTGTTATATCCTCCTTTTTCATTCTACACATAGGACATCTAGAGACTAATTTCAAGCCCTTAAGCTTAAGAATGTCATCCAATGGGATTAACGACATAAGATAACGCTAAAGAAAAAAGGATATAGAAGGAGATAAATATTTATGCCAAATTCATTTCCCCCATATCCAGTCACAATGTGAGTGTAGAGTGTCATAAACGAGCTTGCAAATCGAGAGAGAATTGCTTCTTTTCCACATGGGGAGATCTCTATGAGTAGGAGTGATGGGGATTGTAAGTATATGTTTTGCATTTTGTTCCCCAACCGTATAGCATAATTTAGAAAAATCCCAACATTCATTATCAAAGAAATCATTTATCAAAAAAAATCAGAGACCAATAGAGAGTTAGAAAGAGGGGAGTGAGATAAGCCAGAAATGTGAGAAACACCTCAATTTTCATTCTAGAAGGAAATGTTTCCCTCTCCAATATCCCAAAAAATGAAACCATTTGCCGTGTCTCTAGCATTCACCACAGCTTTCCAAATACGAGAATCTCTAACCTTCTGAGCGACCAAGAAAGGATGAATATTAACACAATATTTTAGCCTCATAAACATGACCCAAAGAGAGGAACCCAATCTAAATTTGAACCATTGCTTACAGAGGTTCACTTCCACATTATGCTTTAGTGCTTTAAAGCCGAGACCACCAACCTCTTTAGGCTTATAAGTTTTATGCCAATTACACCAGATTTTCTTTGCACCGTTCCTCACCCAAAGGAATTTATTAATTTTCCATAGTACTAATTGCACTTTTCTTGGGATTGAACACTTGCAAAGCATATAAAGGAATGCTCTGGAGAACACTAGAAAGTAAAGAGATCCTGTCCCCAGTGGAAAGAAAGACATTTTTTTAATCATTCACTTTACGTTTGATTTTATCAATCACATCATCCATATGCACATGTTTCCTTCTCCCCCTTATTAAATTCACCCCAAGATATTTAAGGGGAAGAGAGACATTCTGAAAACCTGTAAACATAACACCCCATTGAATAATATGCTGCTTAACTTGTTTGCCAAAAAACAAATGACATTTGTCACTATTGAAAC